TAGATTTATTACGTAGGCCCCCGTACTTCTACATATGCAGGCTTGGCCGCATAGAAACCGGGTCCAACAAATATCTCGAGCAAATAGGTGCACTTGGCAAACAAATGGGTGCCACTAATAGTTCCCTAAAAAATAATGACATGTTTGCTGGTATCCACTCTTCAGTGGCAGTCCATTGATGAGAAGACAATGAGCGTTACAACACTACGACCATTATACCATGGTCATGTGGATCATGGTGTAGTATTATTTCATGATACATGTTTCTTACAGTTTAGTTGGTACATGTTCAATGACATACTGTTCAACTGGTTGTGTCTGCCTGAGCTGATGAGAAGTTGATATCAGCGGCCCACCATCACCGATGAACGGCTGATGCACATGTACCAATCTGAACAACATGGTACAAGAATCATAATGTATAAAACCTATCCTTTAGACTTGCACAAGAGATGCCAAATAAGCCTTAGTTACCTCTTTTGTGGCGTTTGTTGCCCTGAAACCCTTGCAAGCCTTCAACATAAGCAGCACTGTAACCTCATCCACTCCACACCCAAGTTCTTGCATTTTCCTCAAAAACACCATTTTCTGTCTATCATCCACCACCCCTGAGACCAACAGATTCCACAAAACCCTAATTCTCCCTGAAAGCCCGGCTGCCACGTGCATGCTCCACGCCCCGCCTGTGCGCACGTACACCTTCACGAGAGAGCCCAACACGTATTCGTCCAGGAGAAAGCCCTCCTTGGAGGCACGAGCATGCACCTGCATGGCCATTGCTTGGCGTTGCGTGGCCTGCCCGCAGGCCATGCAGGCTTCGGTGGTGGCCGTGAATGCGTGTGCATCGGGCTTAAGGCCGGTGCTAACCATGCATTTGAAGAGGCTTACGGCTTTGAGCCCGTGGCCTAAGCGTGTAAGGCTGGAGATGGTGGACGTGTAGCAGAAGAGGTCGGGACATGGGATTTCATCAAATAATTGGAGCACGGAATGTAGGTTGCTAGAATTTTTTGAGTAGAGGTTGATAAGGGTTGTGGCAATTGAGAGGTCAGATAGGTGGCCGGATTTTAGGGCGAGGGCGTGGAGAGCGGCAGAGAATTCTGACGAGTGGCTGGAATCTGGTGAGTGGAAGGAGCGGAGGTCGCCAGCGAGTCGCTGAATTTTGGCCTTTGTGGTTAATGGATTGGGCTTCTGGGAATTTTGGCCAGAACTGAAGACGTTTTCAGGTAAGTTCAATGGCCAGAATTGGGGGCTTCGGCCAAAATCCGACGTGTGAGAGAGGTGGAGATGGCCTAAGAGTTGCCGGGAAATGGGGTTCTGGCCGGAATAAATGGAGTTTACTGGCAAGTTTGGTGAAGGGTTAGGGGAGCTGCAGAGAGTGAGCATTTGGAGAGAGATGGATAGGCTACGAGTGGTTGATTGTAAGATGAAAGTGTAATGACCCAAATGCCCCGTGATTGCTCTGAAGAAAGAGGAACATAAAATAACCAACAGTGTCCCGCTAAATGGGTAGAAGGTAGGGTGGCAGTGGGTCGGGTCGATGTTTGGGTCCAACGGGTCCCAGACCAACTGGTTTTGAACCCGGACCCCCCCAAACCCAAATATATAGTGTGGGACCTAGACCTAAATCTGAATAGCATTTAAGTCCAAGATTTAGGCCTGGACACGATTCGCCAGATCCAATTTTTGGACCTGTATCCGGACCAGGATCAAGTCTATTCCTAAGATCCAGGTTGCGTCCGAGTCCATTGCCACCCCTAGTCTACTACTCGTAGGTTCAATCTCAATGTATATAAAGTGATAAATCTTACCAGCTTTTATCTGCATTGATGGAGACATCCAATCTTTCCCAAAAATATTCCCACTTATTCAAATACATTTCCAATTATAAACAATTTCTAAGCAACATTTAATCCTACATTCAAACTGTTTATTAGCAGATTCTTTGATTCTTTATATTATACAAATCAGGTCCAATGTAATGTTGAAGCTAGCATTAGGGATGTAAATGGAGCCACTGCCAAGTTGACCCCGTCCAAGTCTGGACCTAAAAATCAGACCTGGTGGGTCAGGTCTGAGTTCAACAAACTCGACCCAACTGAGTATGGTCCAGGTCAGAGTTCAGCTTGAACCTATCAAGGTTGGGTCCGGGTCCAGGTCAGGGTCAAGCATGGATCCAATTATAGCCCTAGTTTTTTTATACTGTTAACATTGTATTAATAGAGAAAAAAGTTTCAATAGTTCCCCGTAGGGCAACACATATCACCGAAGCCCTAGCTAATATTAAATGAACTTTACGATGAAATAAACGGCAATCAAATTATACAAAATAAATAATTAAAACTAATTACCACTGCATTTTCAAAATTTCAGGAAACATTTAGCAAAGTAGACAGAAGAGGAAAAATTTTAGGATACCCTTGGATTACAGACTCAATGGACCCTATATTATACACTCTACCTGAATAGCCGAAACCTTGGGGCATAATGACAAAGCAATGGAGGACCCAAAATTGCTGGTTAGCATTCAATTCATATCTGAACAAATTTTGCAGTTATTACACTTGTAATGAATTAACAATATGGTAACAAAAATAAACTGCACTGTACACAGAAAATGACATGGTGATTATGTTCCGCACCACAAAAAATGATTACTAGGATCGTGCTTCTCAACCTCTCTTGAGGTTCTTGATAGGAATTGAGTCTTGTTATCTCTACAGCTGCAAAAGACAGAGCACCAAAACGTCCAATAATTGAAGTGCTTTAATCTCATCGAAAGGTGGCGATTTGATCTCAAAACCCATCTCGATACTCCCCAAATGTCAAACTACTGATGTACTTTCATCAGAAGGGTACTTCTATTTCGGGAGAGGGCCATTCAGAAGATCTCCATGTCAGTGGTAATCAGGCTTAAGAAAACTCTCTCCCCCACCCCCCCCTGTTACAGGTAATCAGCTCTCTCTCTCAATGCTTGATTTCACCTCAAAAGGCTCATGACCTCCTCCTAGTGCTGATACTCAGGCCTCAGAGCCACTAGGATCCACCTGTTTCTCACGGGTCCTGGCCTTCCCTCTGAGGCCTCTTCTTCTCATAAGAAGCCATTTCAAATCCCATGATCTCCTTGAAGCTTACAAGTCTCTTTTTACTGCTGATATTCAGTCTTCAAAACCCATTTTGATCCACCTGTTCCTCTCTCTAAGCTCGCTATCTCCTTGAGCAAGTTCTTAAACAAAGGCAGATCCTTAGATGGCACCTTATCCTTAAAATGCTCCACAATACTAGCTGAACTGGTACTTCCACCCTTCTCTTGCATAAATGTGCAAAGCTGGCGAATCAAGATCTCAGGCTGAACCATCGTAGGCTTTGATGAACTTGAAGAAGCTTTGTTATCCTTAATGGGCCTAGATCCTCCCTTAGAACTAGAACCAATTGAAGTGATCGAGTTCACCGAATGGCTTGAACCCACTGAAAGGTTTGAACCGAGTTGGTGCTCGAGCCCAGCACCCACAGCACTCACTTGGGTCCCTCTGATTCGAGCCAGAAGCTCAGAAGAGGTCAAGGTTTTGCCCACAGAAGCACCAGCACCAAAGCTTTTGGTCATGGAAGCTCCACTTGTAGGAGGGGTTTCCAAGGGTTTTGAGGTGGAAATTAGTTGGGTATTTACAGTGGACCCAAACGTTCTACGAGCAGATGGTGGTGCCCCTGCAGCTCCTGACCTTCCAGTCCACGTAGGGATTGATATCCTTTCTTGGCTTCGGAGCATGCGTGATTGCCTTAAGGCTTCAGCTGCCCTTTGGGCAACTTGGGATGCTTCTTCCTCAAGCCTCATCTTCTCCTCATCATTGGCATTCATGATAACATCGTGGTTCATGGCACTCTGCACAATGATTCATTTAACCCAACAGATTAAAATAGTGAAGAATAATATCACAATTTTCTTTCAAAATTTATTAAAACTATAATGAGACTTCTATTTAGAGAAAAAGGAAAAGATTAGAGGTTTCCCATAATATTGTGATGCTTTACTCTTCCCTGCAAATTCCACAAAAAATTAAGTTCAAAACTATTTTTCAATTAGTCAATTTTTATTCACGTTTTCCATAATATCAAAATGCCATGCGATGCTATTTTTATTTTTTAAGCCCACAATATTGTGATGTCTCCCATAATATATTTTAAATTTCAACATTTTTCAGTGAGTTCAGAACTATTTTTTAACAGGTTACTACTTCTACAGTAAGAGGTTTCCCAAAGTCCAATGCAGTTTTCCTCTTTCCTGCAAATTCTTTGAACAAGCACGTTCAATCTAATTTATCCTGGTTTGAATTTTAATTTTGTTTCTACTTTCTTCTTTTGTGCTTCTCCCAGATTTTATCTAGAGGAGTTTTCAAGACAATACATTTTGAAAATTTATTAGTTTGCATGACAATTAAGAGGAACATCACAATCTCTAATTTGCAAAACATGAACCCTTATTCCTATTTTCTTTATGTGACCATATTTTTTATTAGAAATTTCCCTATTATTTTCCTTAAAACAAATAAATTACATGTACAGTTGACAGCAGCAGAAAACAGCGACTTTATGCATCACAATCATGTGTGCCCACAAAGACAGCACAAACACACACATGCGCACACACAGAAGAGCGAGGTAATCACTGGAATATACTCACATGAATACCATGAGCTTCAAAAAGGCTTCTCAACACGCTCGACTCCTCATCCACTTCCCCGTCACTCTCGTCAGCTTTGCCTTTTCCCTTACTACTGAATGATTCCTCTTTTGAGGTTTTCCTTCTTTTACTGCCTGTATTATCATTACATGCAGGCTTTGCTGAATCTAGTTCACCTTGATTATTATCATGAACACCCAAGTTTATTTCAGTCAGTTGACTGAAAATGCTTGATGTCTCAGTACAAGCACCGTCTGCGTCCTCTTGTAGGGTGAAGAGATCCCTCATGTCTCTAGCTTTGAAGAACCTTCTCTGTTGGGGATTTTTCAAAATCTTATTGGTCAGGAAATGCTTGTAGATTTGTCGATGGTAGACCTTCTCCTCGATTGTACCTCTAGTTATCAGTCTATAAATTGTTACATCTCGAGTTTGACCTATACGCCATGCACGCTCTCTTGCCTAAACCAAGCATCTAGAGTTTCAATTTACTTGTAGAAACATGCACAGTCATGCATGCACATAAAACGAAGAGAAAAAAGAAGAATGTATTAATGGTAAGGTTGCACAAAGCTCTAGGAAGCTACAAAACGCTAAGAAAAATAAGAAATAGAAATAAGTAACTAAAGAGAAAGAACAATGGATTGGCAAACAATACAATAATTCTTTCACAACACAAAGACAATTTTCTACCAGTAGAAATACATCCAGATCAGAAGGTTGGTTATTTATCATGCTATTATGCAGAGGCATGATCACATTAGTTTTTGTGATGTGTTGTAATTTGAAAATGGATAGAGGACGATTACAAGATACCATACATTATGGTTATATTCAACGTGATTGTTAATTTATCATGGCTTGATAAATTGTGGAGAGAACACTATGTGCATGAGGGTTAATTAACATAAACATAACAACTCCACCAAATTCTGTGCAAAATAATATAACGAACTTATAATTAATAGTTAATTTTCCAAACAAGGTCAATTGAGAAACAAATATTATCCAACAAAACCAACGAATGCTAAGGTTCATCTAACACAACATGCACAGACAAAACAATACAAGTATTTCTTTTTCCAATTAGTGTGGTGTGTATAAGGCTGACGCCTTAAACAATCAAAGTAAGGCATACCCTCTAATTAGTGTCAAAAGATGATTTTTAAGTAGAAAAAATATTTGTAATGGTGAAAAACCATTTTGATCTCTAATTATAAAATTTAAGGGTTCAAAAATAGTGTAGCTCGAGCATATCTATAAACACTTGAAAATATTGAAAATTGCCAGCCCAAATAATGCATTACAAGATGGACTATTTCCTATACTTAAAATCCATTTTTGTTTCATGCCCATACATCTCGAAGTCAAGACGATCGATTTGAGGATTTTTTTCACTTCAAAACAACCTCATTAGTGAACTTTTTAGATGCACCTTAATTTGATGTTTAGGGCCTCAACCTTATATAAACCTTTTCCATTCAATTAATCCAATAGAAGTTAGAGCACTCACCTGTACGTCAGTTGAAGGATTCCAATCAGGATCAAATATGATCACCCGATCTGCACCAGTCAGATTGGTACCAAGCCCCCCAACTTTTGTTGTCAGAATGAACACAAATACATCATTAGAACCATTGAACTCATCCATCAAAACCATCCTCTGTTTCACAGGGGTAAGCCCATCCATTCTTCGGTAAGAATACTCTGATGCTATCAAAAAACTCTCCAAGATATCCAACATTTGTTGGGTTTGTGCAAAAAGCAAAACTCGGTGACCTTGGTCCTTCCACACTTTCAATACCTGTGCGACCACCTTCATTTTACCACTCCTCTCTGGATTACCATAGTCTGGATGCCCTGCACTATGTTCTCTCTCTAAAAGATCAGGATGGTTGCATATCTTCCTAACCACATCTATCCCATACAAAGAGTTCCTATTACCATTGAAGATTTGCTCCACCTCCGAGCTCGCTAAAAAGGCTCGATACACCGCCCTTTGCTCCATGGTCAAGCTGCAAAAAAGTACATGCTCTGTTTTCTTTGGTAGCTGCGCATTCACGTCAGCTTTCATTCTCCTCAAAAGGTAAGGCATTATAAGATCACGCAGGACCACAGCACATCGATAGGCAGTTGACACTTGCAATGGCGTGGCATTGGCATAGCCCCCAACTGAGATTGGCACTGAGAATTGAGCCTCAAAAACTGGTAATACACCCAACTTGCCAGGGAAGACAAAATCAAACAAAGACCATAGTTCAGTGAGTTTGTTCTGGATTGGTGCACCAGTCATTATTATACGGTGAACTGTTTGTAACTGTTTGCATACCAGAGTGACCTCTGCATTAGGGTTTCTAATCCGGTGTCCCTCATCCAATACTGCATAACCCCACTCAATGTCAAGTAACTTTTCCCGAAGTATACGAAGTTGCTCATAGGTAGTGAGGAGCAAGCCTGACTCTGACCCAGTAATACGATCAATTAAAGCATCCCATTTTTTAATATTTTTTGCAGGGACAGAGTTATCGGTTTCACTATCTGACATGCTTTCACTTTCATCATCAGATTCTCTCACCTTGCGTCTAGAACCCGGTAGTTGGACAGAATCATGGAGTATCTCAACATGGAAACCAGGGTACCACTTCTTGACCTCCCTTCTCCACTGACACAGGAGAGTTACTGGGCATATAACAATGCTAGGTTTATACATTTTACTAAAATGAAGAGCACCCAAAAAAGCTATTACCTGGACGGTTTTTCCCAAACCCATCTCATCTCCAATTATCCCACCAGCTCTTTGGCAGTGTAATTCCCAAAGCCATTTTACCCCTACTTTTTGATAATCAAAGAGTTTGTTGAAAACGGTTTCTGGGATTTTAAGTCCTCCTTCAAGGGTAACAGTTGTCGGCTCATGATCGACAATCCCATCTTGATTTTCTACTTCATAATCAGGACTTGCTGAATCGGAGTCCCTCGTACTACTTGAGGGGTGGCCCTCCGTGATACCTTCTTCTGCAAAGCAAATAACCACCAGTGCATGCAAGATATTGTAATTTCATTAATTACTGAAAACATTCAGAGGATCCAAAGGCATGAAAGTGGTTCAGCATATTCTGCAGCATGGATATTTAACTCGTATATCTATTGATGTCCTTTTCTTTTTGCCTTTGTTTTTTGTATAATGTTAACTTAAGACTTGGGGATATGGAACTCTAGACGTCATGTTGTGGAACCCGCCACCCTAACCACTGCGCCTAGAGCATGTTCTCCATATCTCTATAAATACCTACCCAACATAAACAATTCACTACGAGAATGTTTTATGAAAGAGAGTGTGTGATCCAACTCTCAGGATACTTCTTTGTTGTATTATTAGAACATCAATCATTAAAAATGAAGGGGGGTATATTTTTCTCATTTTTGTATGTTTTTCTTCATGGCTCTCTGTCTTCATATCTTTCCCATGTCATATTTATTTTCAAATAAGATTATCATGCTTCCTTTTCCTCTACATTCCATTACATTTTCCTTTTTGTTCAGAACTTTAATTTGATTGTCTAGATTTTTTTTGTGGAATACTTAAATTTCATTTTTCTTCATTTTATTGATGATTTACATTCTTTAATTTAATGTTTCTTTGATTTAATGTTTCTTTGTTTCAAGCAACCACGACAGCTAACTTGCATTTTAAAAAAGACAGCAGCTATCTATGTGACATGTATCTTGCCCAAAGAAGACCATCATGTACCTTCTGAGAATAGTTTCTCTTCCTGTAGAGTGACTTTCCTCCATTTCTTATCTGGTAAAGGTCGCTTCCGTTTCTTTACAGGAGTTCCTTGCACCACATCAGGCTTCTCAGCGACTTGAGCCCCTCTTGATATTGAATGTTTCTGCAATCTATGAAAGGCACGAGTGGGTGGTTCAAGTTTCGGTAATCCAGAGGCATCGACCAACTTTGTTGAAGGACGAGATTTTGAGATTGCAGAGAGAGATGCAGCAGCCTTTGCAATGCTGGCTGCTTTACGATTGTGCTCCCCAACTTCCTCAGGTGTAGCTTCACTATTTGATGGTCCAGCTTGGCTGTTTGATGGTCCAGGTTTTTGGAACCCACGTTCAAAGCCTTTGAGTTTATGAAAGGGAGTCAAAATGCCTTTACGGATCAATTCATCTCGCTCCTGCCATATAAAACAGGTTTGGTCAGTGTGAAAAGGCCACATGGTTTCCCTCTCATCAATCTTATTCAAGGTAAAGTCTAAAGATGAGCCTTTGAGAATTTCTAACTTTTCTTTCTTTTTTTATTTTTTATTATTATTATTTTTTTGGCAAGCAATACTTTGGGCTACTAGGACTAGATTACCATTTCCTCCCCATCATAAAACACAAAAAGTGAGAAATAAGCAACTCACTGTTTCCACAAATCCTGCAGAGGCTGCATCCAAAACTGCATCAAAATCCAGATCATCATCAAATGTGATTGTTTTCTTCTGCTTTTTCCTATTTGAAGAGGTTGCAAGTTTTGAGCCTTCTGACTTTGGTTTGTGCTTCTTTTTTTCCTTAACCAACTTACCAAGTAGATTCTTATCAGCAAGACTATCACTTGGAATTTCCTTTTCAATTTCAGATATCTCGTTTTGAAGCTGATTCCTTGTTTTCCTAAGGCTTTTTAACCTATCAGCAGCTAATGCATGTTGAAGTTCTAAACCATTTGTCCACACAGGGTTTTCACTTTCAATATTCTCTACAGTTCCCAATTGACCATTTTCCACACTTATTGAAGAAATATCTTTGTTCCCTACACCCCCAACACTAGCTGCAACAGCATCTATCTCAACTTCAACTGCTCTTAATTTATTGTGCAGTTTAATCAAATCTGAATATGGTGTATCCAAAGCATTCTCAGTGTCCTTTCCATCATGCACTTGATTTTCTTTCTTATCAGCCTCAGCCTGCAATATAAGAATGATTGGGGTAGGTTAGATGATAGAGTGTCCACACAATCATGCTTTTCTCGTGAATGTTTACTACATACTTCGTTTCAGAAGAACAGCTAAACTAAATGGTTCGAGCTCATAACAATTTCACGTGAAAAAAGATAGATTCTACATCAGAGTCTTAACCAAAAACTACAAAACATAGGTTCTATGTTAACATGGCTAGGGTATTCCATCCTACAGAACAATCTTACATGAAAAAGATGCCAACCTGGTTTGATATACCAACCCAATTACTGCACCACTGCTTAATGTCATTAGATGAGTAGGCTTGTAAAATATAACACATGCACCCATACAAAAGGATCTTAGACAAGTTTAATAAGAAAACACTGTATTAAAATGTTTAAGTGCAAATTAATGATTGGATCACTATGATAAACATTTCATTTAGTTCGCAAATTTTCACAACTGGACATCTTGAGAGCTACTTAGGACAAGTGGTAAAAACATTCATGAAAAGGGCTCACTCAAGAATGGGGAAAAATACGTTCTTTTGTGACTTACTGCAGCAAAGGTTTCTCCCTTTTTCAAGTCTGTGGGCAGAGAAAGGGGACTTGCTCATGAATGGCCAGAGCAGATCAAACAATGCTTAAAACTATTTCAAGTGAGAAAGGCAGGGAAAGCTTATTTATAAACAAATGTCCCATCCAAACTGGCCCTAATGTAGTTACAGAATGCCATGCTATGAGTTTCCTATTCTAAAAAGTTGCATAAATTGGTGCAATTCATTCAATGGTCACAAACTGAGTACCTCAAGAATCAAACAGAAAAATGAACAAAGAAAAGAAAAAGAAGCCCACCTCATGAAGTAGCAGGCTCCTTTCAAACTCTTCAGCATTTGCTGATTTTACACCCAAACTGCTTAACAAAAGACTGTCTTCTTCCTCCTCCTCCATGTTTGATGAATTATCGTATTTCCCAAAGGCAAGCCATCACCAAAAAGAACACCTGATAAAAAGGATAGAGAGACACAACCACCAAATTCTCCTTAAGTTTGTTTTTTATCGCCCAACCTACTGCATATTTATGCAAGTGAAGATCAAAAGAATCAATAATCTCAACAAAACTGCTTTCCATTGCTTCTCTTATGCACAATAAATAAAATTTGCACATACAAAAAGCATTCTCCAAATTTAGTGCATTTTATAAAATCTCCAGGGAGTTCTTTCATTTTTCTAGGATGGTAACTAGTCAAAAAATATCTCCTTTTCAGATTTTTTTTCTTCTTAGTAACAAATTATGTTTTTCAAGTTCATGTGGAGCTCCGAGCTAGATCTCCAAGTGCTGAACTTACGGCATAAATCGTTTGGAACCATTAATTTACATAGAATGAAATAAAGTTTAAGCTGTAAAAGGCTTTCGCCATTTGAACCAACATTTTATCTGTTTCACTCAACACAATCACTCCAAAAGAAACCCTAAACAGAGGAGTCCAAGCATTCCATAGATAGCCCCAGATAAACGATTCAGCAAAAATCCAGAGGACGTCCTAATGAATCCCTAGAGAGAGAAAATCCAATTGATGCCCAATTATCTCAAATGAAACATACATACATTGGAATAAACACTACTCCATAGTAATCAAACCAACATATACAACAAAGAGAGCAAGAGAGAGAGAGAGAGAGATTTGAAACCTAAGTAATAAATGAAATTCGATCAAATATAGGAATGATTCCGTGCAGAATATGGAGAACAAACTAGAGAGATCACATTACGTGAGAAGAAGCATGTGCTACTCACCTGATTTGAGAACTGCTGTAAGGGCTTATTGTTAACGAGTTCTCTCTCTGAAAAAGTAAAAACCCTAAGAAATAAGGCTTTGGGGTTGATGGTCCGCGAATTTGAAGCCCCATGAGAGAGAAATCTCCCGGTAATTTCTGGCTAGAGAGAGAAAGTAAACTCCTATTTTTTATGGCTTATCTCTCATTTTGCCGCTTGCCAATGCCGTAATCTCTCCGTTTGTGCTCTAAACTAAGTGCATATACTATGCTCCCACAGGATCAGACTGTACACTTACTCCCGGTGGTAGAAAATACCGAGAGAAGAATTTTTTTTTTTTCTAAAATTTGGGAACTAAGTAAAATTCAATAGATGATTATATTAAAAATAAATAAATAAAAGTTTCGATCTCACCATTTGATAATTGGATGGCTTCTATTCAAATTTGAGCATTTATTTATTTTTGGACGCGGTTGGCATTCGGCCAGCCCGCATAGTGTAGAAATGTGGGTTGGGTAATAAATATAGTTTTTAAATGTAATTTGATCTTAATTTTTAAATAATATATAATATTTAATATAAAATCATGAATATGAAAAAATATAATAAACTTTGAAAACTATAAATAATAATTTTATTAATAAAATATTTGGACAGTTAGTTACAATGGTTTTTAGATTGACCACCTATTTACATCCATTTTTATGGTGGATGCTTTATACCTTTAGACCGCATATTGTAGAAATGCAGTCGAGCCCGCATGAAACAATTGTTTTTTTTTTAGAGTGAAGTTTGTATAAAGTTGACGCTCTAAACAATCAAAGTAAGACGCACCTTTAAATTTTGTCAAAATATGTTGTTTTAGTTTTGAAAATCTTTGTGATGGCCTAAAAATTTATTTTCGTATCTAATTATAAAATTTAAAGCTACAAAAATGATGTAGATCAAGTAGATTCACGAAAGCTAGAAAATCTTGAAAATAGATGGCCAAGTAAATGCATTATAAGATACTCTATTTCTGTGGCTTAAAATCTATTTTCTCTCACATCCATATATCTTGAGATCAAGATGACCATTTTGACGAAATTTTGGGCATCGAAACAACCTCTTCTAGCGAATTTTTGAGGAACGCCTAAATAATACAATTTTGAAATTCTTCTTATCTGAGTATATCATATGGGTTGAGGAGGTTAAATCCCCAAAATATACGGTACTAAAAGTACTCTTAGAATGGACTAAATAGGGAGCATATTCTCTCAGGATCATGAAATCTATTGGTTTGTTCCAAGTAAAATTATTTCGACTGAACTTTTTCACTTATAATTTGCTATTTGATTCCGATAATAAATATCGATAAAATGGAGTCTGATAATAAAGTAGTCATTGCTTATACTATAATTTTCTTTTTGCATTCTAAATATTTATCTTGAAACGCTTTAGAGGTTTTTTTTTTTTTGTATTTTTATCACTAATAATTTACTATTTCAATAAAATTGATTTTGAGTTATTTGTTTCCTTGGCTTAGTCCTCTAAAATTTTATGAGATAAAGTAGTTTTACACGTTGGTTTTGTTTATATAAGGTATCAACATCAAACAATCAAAGTAAGCTACACTTCCAAACCTTGAATTTTTGTATTGAAAATAATTGTGATGGTCTAAAAATCTACTTTTATGTTTAATTAAAAAATTGAAGCTCAATAAAGGATATAGGTTAATAGATGAACATATCGATCAATACTTGAAAATCTTAAAAATAGATGGTCCAAATATTTTCTAATCCCTTGGGAATATTCTATCCATTTAACCCTCTCGAGTAAAACTCCACCTAGGATTAATTTTAGAACCCCCAAATTTTGAGGATATAATCTCTTCAACGCATAGACTAACCTCAATAAAAAAATATTCTAAATATAGCCTCTAAGCACTTTAGAAAAAATAATGTCTTAATATTGAATAGAAATCATTCAATTTTAGAGAATGAGATCTTAGTGTTAGAAAACTTAAATTATTTCATTATTATTTTTGTTATAATAATCATTCTAAAGTGGTAACCAAAATTTCCAATTGAAAAAAATCCTCCCAAAAAGGTCATTTGATAAAAGAGTAGAAGTAAACTATGCTCCCAATGAAGCATAATATAACTACTCATATATTACAAGATGTATTATTTTTAAAACACAATCCTAGCTGCCCAATAGGCCTTGCAATGGGTGAGGTAGGGCCACTATGAAAAAATACGGGCTTCGTAATGTGGCTCGAAGGCTAGACCACCAAAACCCAGTCTGGCTAAGCCTTAAGCAAGGCCATCATAGGGGAGGCCTGCCTTGAATTGGACATAGGTGTGGGCTCTTTTAGCTCCAACATGGGCCAAGTGAAGCTGGAGTTCAGTCTAAGGTTGGTTCCAATTAGGCTGAGCTCGTTGCTAGCCATATATTGTATAGATCAATTTATAGAAAATAACCGACAAATAGCTCATTTCACAAAGATCATGTGGTTTACAACAACTAGTGAGGAAATTGTGCGTTGCAGGAATATATGAAAATAAAGTTTAATAAATAAGATATAATTACATCGATACAGATAAAAATTGAATAATGACACATTTTCTATAATATGCACTTCCACAAAAAATAAAAAATGCTAATCTGTTAAAGAATTAAAAAATGCCTGCAATTTTTAAGCCAATCTTATCCAAACTAAAATTAGTATTAGTATTGGGTGGGAGTTAGAAAGATGTAATATTTCTGAATTTGATTTATCGAATTAAGTTAGGTTTTGGGGGGGGGGGGGGGGGGTAGAAAAATGTCATATTTTTTAAATTGATTTATGAAATTATAAAGATACTTTATTTCAGGTATGGGTCCAAAAAATTGGACCCAACGGGTCTGGTCCAGTAAATATTTTTCGAGTCTCAATATATGACATATTTTTAAATACAATTAAATATAGGGATATCTTAATTTTTAAGTTGGATCCGGGTCCAAGTCCCACACTAAATTTTTTAGATATGGATTCAGGTCTCATACAATATTTTGGGTCCAAGTCCGGGTCAGGCCAGACCCATTGCCACCCCTGCATTGAAGTTCGATCAGCATGCCACAACTCTTCGCGGCAAGGATGTGGATGAATCTGAGCCGTACATATTATGCGATTGTAATTTGCACACGTACCGCGGTTTGGTGAGGGCATGACAATATTGGCGCCACCAAACAGTAATTAGTGGGAGATTTAAGTGCGGGAGAAAATGATTTAGAGAGATAAACAGCGAGTCAATACCTCAATTTAACGCGTCATAAGGTAGAATCGAGGATCTTGACTTGGGCCAGGACGTGGATCACCGAATCGAATCTAAATGGACTAATCGGAGGTGTTTATGGAGGGAAAACAATAATAAGTAGAAAACTAAAAAACTACAAAGAAAATAAAACATCCGATAAAGAGAAATAAAATAAAAGAATAAATATATGTAAGATCTTATAGAATAAAAGCAAAAACCTTCTAATTTATTATATTGACCTTGAGATATTTAGAAGTGAAGAAAAATAGAAATTTTAAATCTTAAAAACTAATGCATTATATAACAAGTTATCTGGGTTATTTTTAAGATTTTTTTTTTATATTCATAGATTTGCCCAATTTGTATTGTTTTTAAGATTTCAAATTTTATAACAAGGGTTAAATACATAGTTTCGAGTTATTGTAAAGTTTTTGAAACTTGAACTGTGTCTTTTTGATAAAATGTAAATGTAAGTCTTACTTGTATAGTATAATGTAGGCACCTTATACTAACTCACCTATAAAAACGCATAAATTTAGTAAATATATTTATCCAAAAAAAGACATTCAATAAATTATTTAAAAAATAAAAATAAGACAATGTTTAAAATATTAAAAGTATGTATAAAATCTCTATATGGTAATTGCAAATATTAATTATACAATATTTTTGTATGTAACTCGAGTTTGACCAGACTATTTGGCTGGACAAAGAGCGAGTTTTATATCAACCGAGCGAGTCAGCGTTTTGAAATGCATTTAGAGGGAAAACTTAGAGAGAGAAAACTGAATTGGAGTTCAAAGAGCAAATTGCCCAAGATTGTGGTGAGAAAATAACGAGTCAACCGAGATCATATTAGTTCGAGCAGCGCTTTTGTTGGGGAGAGAAGATTAAATCGAAGAGCAAGAGAATTTAGAGAGAGAAACAGTGATTTACAAGGGGCCCTGCAACTCAAAGCGAGTTCTGCGAAAGAAATCTAGAGAGAGAAACTAGGTCGGGAAACAATGGGGTTTGAGAAAGAGGCCCTGCAATTCCAATTAACAAATTCGATAGAAGTATCTGCTCTTCAATTCTCCTATGATGATCAGCCCCCATTGTTCTCCAATTTTAACCTACATATTTCCCCTGGCTCTCGATGCCTACTTATTGGCGCTAATGGATCTGGTAATTTTTTTTATCAAATTCCAATCTCCATTTATTGATTTATTTTTCTCAGACTCATATTATTACATTTGTTTATGCATATTGAGTGTTCTCTCAGTTTTCACATTATGGTATCAATTTTTTATTGGTTAATATCAAATTGTCATATTTAATTGATCTTTTTGAGCTTTGTTTGCCTCTTCTCCTTCCATAGTACTAAATTATTGCATTTGCTTGATTTTTTAAGTGTTATGATTTCATATTTGTTGAGAATTTATGGACAATATTCATAAGTGAAAGATTGATTGATATTGGCGAATGGGAAATAGCAGTGTTTCAAAATCGCCCGAGCTGGGTCTGATTTCGATTTGCCAGCTTGGGCAATTCCCATGCCGGACCAGGCTATATAATAAAAAAGTAATAATTATATTACGAAAACACTGGGATACCTGGGTGGTTCCGGGATGTTTCATCCCGGGATCGTTGGCCTCCTAGTCTGGTCCAAATCGAGTGATCCTCGAATCAGGCAGTTCAGGCAATTAGCAAAATAAGGGTTTAAATGGTTTTGGAAATGAAGTAAAATTTTATTGACATCATATAAATGTCATATAGACTTGTTGGAATTGTTTTGAGTTTTTTTAAATTCTTTTCCACTTTATGTCCGATTTTAAGTTGCGGTCCCTTCATTTTGTAAGCTTCCTTTCTAGTTTGAAAAAACTGTTTCTAATTTGGGAGGTATTTTTTTTTTTAAATTCAAATCTTGGTCAGAAGTTGCAATAATATTAGAAAACCGTGGCCAGTCTCTTACCTGAGTTGAGGCTTTTGCCATCGTCTTCTAAGTACTGTTTTCATCGTGCATTTGGCCGAAGTTGAAGTTCTGCTTTGTTGAAATTAGCGAATAATTGACGAACAGTGACATGCAACCTGTAAATCTTTCTTAGTCCTTACTTTAATACAATAGTTACTTACATTAAAAAACAAAAGATGAAACATGTATCTCATCTATTTCTGTGGCTTTTTGCTGACGTTCCTCTTCTAGCTTCTTTTTTATTTTTCATTTTCTTAGATTAGTTATACAAATCAGTAGAAAGAGAGTGGAGTCATGCATTGTAGGATAAGCTTATTTTATTTTAATCATCTTGCTCCAATGCACTTTCTGTTCTCATGTATGGTCAGTTTGCTTTCATTCCATGCCTACATTGTGTAAATATATTGATAATTTGGGAAATTAAGTACTCCTAAATACTTTATTTGCCTTGATTTAATGCCATTTCAACTTGTGCATTTTTATTTTATTATATGTGCAGACATTCAGCATGGCGAAGTCAAAGCCATATTTTGTAGGAACATTTTGATAAGGGATAGTGGTTTTCTAGAATGTATAATCTAGCCTGCCTTGGTTCCTCGCAACACCCATGCCTTCCTCTTTCTCTTTCTACTTTCATATCTATGTTTTATCTTTTGCACCCATTTATAAAAATCAAAGCATTCTACATACATATGGTCATACTGGATTTGTGGATTGTAGCCCATTTTAGATTTACAAAGAGAAAGGAAATACCATGATCATGTCATTGGCACAATAGTCGGAGATATGCTGACCCTATGAGGTTGGTCTGTCGAGAAAAATACTGGACGGATGCCTTCCCTTTTTCCTGTATATCGAAGAATCTAAGAGTGTCTGTAAAAATGGGTACTTTCCTATTCCCTTTATTTATTTTTAGGGTTTTACTTCTTTTTTTTATGTCATCCAGGTAAATAAAAATTACCAAATGGAGTAGTATTACATCAGACACAGATTTTTTCCCAGAGTGTCATGATCTGCCATTGTTTCTAAACATAGAGACCCATTTACTGACCCTCGCCATTATCAAAATGATAACAGCCCCCAATGCTGTGTATTATCATCTCGTTCTAAGGATATTGGACGTGTTTCATAATATTAGAAATGAGTGCATTGTGAATTTGATCTCAATCTGAATTTTGATTTTGTCGGGTTTGTCATTTCATCTTAATTGAATGATAAGTGATAGATACTGCTCCTTTGGGCATTGAAATAATTTTGACCATTAAAAAATTGAATGAAATTTGGAATCTTTTGCAAACAGGGAAGACTACTCTATTAAGGATATTAGCAGGAAAGCATATGGTTGGAGGCAGGGATGTCGTAAGAGTGATTGGTCATTCTGCATTTCATGATACACAGCTTGTGTGCAGTGGTGAGCTTGCATATCTTGGAGGTTCTTGGAGTAAAACTGTTGGTTCTGCTGTAAGTGAAATGCATTCAGTTAATTTTCTACTAAGGCACTCTAGAATATTGTATTTCATCATTGGGAAATTACACCTTATTCTATTATGGACTTTAGGGTAGTTTTAGTGAGAACCGAATATGATTTTCAATTTAGCATCTGCTATTGCATGTGTGCATGAGACTGGGACTGATCACATAATTATTTCCTATTTTATATTACTTACACTTCTTGATGGATGTTTCTTGAGATTTCAGTTGTTTTTCTTAGCGGTCTGCATGCATGACTTATAAGTGACTTCTGCATGTTTTCCAGCGATGGGGTTATAGAGCCCTATCTTTCTGTTAAAAGTCTCATTAATTGTTTGCATGGTTGTCACTCATCTGTCAAGTTGTCATTCAAGGAACCATACAGACTAAAAGCAACGGAATTAATGGTTATTGAAATTGACATACGGCATATTTCCTCAATTAATGAAGCTTGAAATCAATAATTGCTGATTGTCCATTGGATTTATAGGGTAGTTGTGGGACAATAGAGCAGCTCTCTCTCTCTCTCTCTCTCTCTCTCTCTCTTTCTCTTGTTGTGACACTCCCACAGAAATACTCCTTCTGATATTCCATTATTATTTGAACACAGGGTGAAATTCCTCTCCAAGGTGATTTCTCTGCCGAACACATGATATTTGGAGGTAAGCATATATTGGCCATTACATTCCAGTAATGCAAGTACCACCCTTTTCTCTTCCCACATTTGATTACCATTATCATTAATGTGGATTATCTTTCATGTGGAGCATCAAAAAGTAAACAAAGTTATCTTTGATATGTTTGTCTTTCTGTTCTACATTCATGCATACCTGAGAGGCCTACTTGAAGAGATATGCATGGCATCATTATATATACCTCAATTCTGGAAATGGAGAGATATCAATTATGTTATGAACATTTTCTCCTTGTCCGCTTCTGGAAAGAATAGCTCCTTACTTTTATCATATTCTCATTGGAACCTTGAAGCAACACTTTTAACATGTTTCTTTACTGGAAACAACGATTGAACAATGGACTTCTGGTTTCATTGTATTCCATTGTTACTATCCTTTTTTTTTTTTGACAAATGAAATCAATTACTATATTTTGGTAACAGTCTTTATGTTATCCTTTTTGGTGCGTTGGTTCGCAGTTGAAGGAGTAGATCCTGAAAGGAGAGAGAAGTTGATTGATCTGCTTGATATTGATCTGCAGTGGCGAATGCATAAAGTGTCTGATGGGCAGCGACGCAGGGTCCAAATTTGTATGGGGCTTCTTCATCCATTTCAGGTCGTTTCAGCTGCCTCACGTCACATGATGAAATTGCTGAGCCAAATATGGCTTCTTTCTTTTTGTTTTTTCCGACTAATCTGTTATCATATCTTTATGCATATCTAGCCAACATGACCTGCTTTTTGACCACTTCATCAAACCTTCTACTGGCTTCATTTTTCGTGCTTAAAATAAGAAAACATTTGGCCCCTACTTTTTCGAAATGGGAAAATTTTATAGGATTTGGGTAAGAACAATTAGATACTGGCAGATCACCATTGCGATCAAGAACTACTGAACCTAGTTTCTATCAAATAGTGAGAGAGAGAATATAGAAAGGAAAATGAAAATAAAAAAGAAATGAAAAAGAAAAGGTAACTGGCGGGAGGTAAAACAAAACAATGGAATAATGAAGTAAACAGAGCAAGTATGGAGTTCTGGGTTCCATTGGTCAATAACTCCGATGGGATATTTGACAAAGGTGATCTTAAGCACTTACAGTTTTTTCAATTTGTTTTTTGTTTTTATTTTAAAGCCGATCAGCATTCAAGTAACTAATGAAGACGAATTTGGTAGCTAATATATGCATTTATGTGGAAGCTATTTGACCATAATGAGGCTGTAAGCGTATGCAGGTGCTTCTGCTTGATGAAGTCACAGTCGATCTGGATGTTGTTGCTAGGATGGATTTACTTGACTTCTTCAAAGAAGAATGTGAAGGGGTGAGGATACCTTCATTAGAATTTGGTCATGCACAAGACTTGCATATTACTCTCTCTCTCTCTCTCTCTCTCTCTCTCTCTCTCTCTCTCCTCCTCCTCCTCCTCCTCCTACCTCCTACTCTACTACGTACTACGTACGTACGTACGTACGTACGTAC